CCACTCCTCTGCCGTTCCCCACCTGCCCACGGGGCTCCCAGGCTATGCCCTTATTCTAATAACCAAAAAGGATGGCAGAGGTCTAGGAGGCCATGAGCCTTTCGGGGGGCCATGCTGGGCTTGAGCCCACAAACGCTCTTACTGACGCTTGCGTGTGCCACTGACAACCTGGGAAGGGGATGCTGTTTCATTCCTTCGTTCGTTGGTTCCTTTGTTGCTTCTTCCATCCAGCAGCTCGGTGCATGCGGGAATGCACACTCACGAGCTCCCAGTAGGTGTTGGGAGCTGGGTACTCAGATGAACCCTCATCTGGCCCCTGCCAGCTGAGCGCTCATGTGCTTGCAGGGCAGGCAAACCCCTGAGGCAATGCAGCACAGCTGGGATGGGTACCTGGAGGGTGAGGGTAGGGTGTTTGTGCACACCTTGGGGGATGGGCCAGCACCAGCAGGCAGGAGAGCTTCCCAGTGGAGGTGTCCTCGGAACTGCTGCTAAGGTAGGCAGGTGGTTGGCAGTGGGCCAGATGGGAGGCCATCCCAAGCAGAGGGAACTGGAGAAGAGGCGTGAAGCAACCTCCTGTTAGGGGAGCCGTAATGGGGCTGGCGTGGGTGGCAAGGAGGAGGAGAGGCCAAGAGTTGGGCAGAGCCAGGCCGTGTATGGGGGCTATGGTCAGGCGGTGGAGGGAGCCTCACCCTCACTACTCACTCACTCCATTGGTTGAGGACTCAGTTCTGGGCCTTGCTCTGTGCCACTAAAGCCCTGGAGCTGGCTCAGGCCTGCAGAGAGTGCTGGTGGCAGGCACCATGCCCACGGACAGGGAGCCCTCGGACCTTGTCAAGACCCTGCATCTGGTCCTCCTTGCCACCTTCTGGGGCAGACCTTCTGAGGGAGCTTTGTTTCCGGTGTGTCTCAGGGAAGGGACTTGGCCAGCTCGTGGCTTCAGCAGGGCTCCTGGGGGTGCCGAGTCCCTGCTTACTGCGTGCAGGCACGAGCCCAGGTACGGAGCCACCACATCTCATGGCGGCATCACAGCCCCTCCCCACCCTGTATCAGGCAGGATTCATGCCCCAATTTATGGGATCAAATTGGGGCTCGGTGATTGAGCGACTTGCACACAGCCTTTGTGTAGCAGAGCCAGAGCCCAAACTAGCATCTGTTAGGTGCCAAGAACCCACCGGCCGTGGGCCACAGCACTGCCTCTGGTGAGGGCTTATGCTGCATGATGTTTTAAAATAATTAGGGGACCAGCAGATAGATGGTGTAATGGTTACGTCGCTGGACTCCCGCGTAATCGACCGCAGTTTGAGTCCCGGACCTGGCAACTTAAAACTCATGCTGGGCACGTGTGCGTGCATGCCCCAAATCCCAAGAAGAGAATGGAGGAGAAGGGACTGCAGTGTGGCCATCTCCCCTGAGAGGTGTTTTCTCGCTGTCTCTCTGTCTTTCCGGTGGTGAGCACATGCACCCTATAGCAAAAATCTTTCTTAAAAAAAGATAATTAGTCCTTGCAGACAAGCTGTGCTTTTTAGTACGTTGTCCCCATTTTTCAGAGGGGAAAACTGAGGCCCCCAAGAGGGCAGGGGCTCTTTAAGACTAGGCAGTCCCTGGGCACTGGCCCTGGGCATCCAACTTTCTATCCAGGACACTCTCTAGACCCTGGCAGGACCCTTCTTATCTGGCTATGCCACTGGGACCCAGGATTTGGGGAGGTGGCTCCGAAGGCTGAGTCCATTGGTGGAGAGGCCTGCCGTAATGAGGCCACACCACAGAGCCAGGGCACATCCTCATCCCGGGATCAAGTCGGGGGAGTCATCCTAGGCAGAGGTTATCTCACGGAGGGCCCGGCACTGGACAGCTAATGCTCCTGAGCACCCGCCAGGAGCCAGTTGCAGCCATTCCAGCTCCGAGCAGCCCTCCTTACAGGTAAGGAGGCTGAGGTACAGGTGGCTAAGAGCTTGGCCAGAGGGGCCAGCAGGCGGTGCGGAGGCTGAGGCGCTGGATCACACGTGGCCAGCTCTATAGTGCGACTCCTGGACCCAGAGACTTAGAATAACACTAGGCGCGTGTGTACACATGCCTCAAATCCCAAGGGGAGAGTGTAGAAGGGACTGTGGTGTGGCTGTCCCCCCTGGAGGGTGGCTTCTCACTTTCCCTCTCTCTCTGGTTCTCTCCAGCGAGTGCACATGCCCTATGGTAAAACTCTAGAAAGAAACGTGTTCAGAGTCACATAGCTGTGAAGTGACTTTGAACCCTCATATTCTGGCCCGAGAGTCCATGTTCTCTCTCTTTTAAATTTTATTTTCTGGGAGAAATAGAGGCACCCTTGACAGGGCTTTATACTACACTTCTTCCCCAACCCTGTGGCCAGCTGGGATCACGAGCACACCCCGTGTGTGGAGGCAAGCCCAGGCCACGAACCTGGAGCCTTTCCACATGGTCTCCAGCGTCACGCGGCAGCGCCCCTACCAAGTGCCAGTGTCCACAGACCTGGATGCAGATGGGTGCTGGGGGGGGAGGGCAGCCCCCAGATCCACCAGGCCCTGCTGGCCATTGAGCTGCCCCTGCCCTGCCCACAGGCATCGCGATGGGCAGCTGCTTATCTTGGCACGCCCTGGGCTTCATCCAGAGCAGCCGCTTCCCCTTCTACTTCCACATGGGCCTGCCTGCACCTCCGGCAACCTGCTGCTTTTGCCATGTACCACCCGAGGGAGCTCCTCAGCAAGGAGGCCAGCCAGGTATGCAGGCCTCTGACCTCCCAGCACCCCCACTCTCACTGCCAGGTCCTGCTGCTTTTGCCATGTACCACCCGAGGGAGCTCCTCAGCAAGGAGGCCAGCCAGGTATGCAGGCCTCCCAGCACCCCCACTCTCGCTGCCAGGTGGAGCTTTTGGAAAGCCTCTTTGGGCATGCTTCTGCCTGATCAAAAGTGGTGCACAGGGTCAAGTGCAGGCACTGGGGCCCAGTGTCGAGGGCCCTGCCCCTGCTGCTGTCCCACCTCCTCCTCTTTGCTCCAGCATCAACACACTCGCAGGCCTCAGACATGCCAGGCAGGTGCCACCGCATGCCCCGAGCACACACCTGGCTGGAGACCCATCTGCACCAGTCATCGGCTACAGTTCGCACTGAGGCTGGCTGGGGCAGCCCTACTCTTGGCCCTGCCCTTGAGGCTCTTCTGAGTGGCCAGGCACAGCCAAGTGGAAACCAGCCAGGATGCAGTGAAGGTGCCGAGAAGCCCTGAGCAGCATGGTCTGGCTGAGAAAGGTAGGAGCCATTGGTCCTGGTGGGGTGGGGTGGGGGAGGCTTCCCAGAGGTGACCTGTGAACTGGGGCTCAGGGCTGAGCATTCCTGAGAGGGCTCGGCACGTGCAAAGGCCTGGGAGCCTCCCCCAGTGTGGCTCCACACCTCCTGGCCTCTGCCCTGCACACTGTCTACTTGAGGGACTCATGCCTTTTTTGCTGCCCGAGACCGCAAGCACATGAGCCTGCCGCAATGGTTCTTTAAACTTCTGTCCTAGAAGTCGTGTGGGCTCACATCCCTTTGCATCAGGAGCAGAGATGTACACTCCCCCTGGGGGACAGGGTGGGCACTACAAGAAGTCACATGGCTACCAGGAAGGAAATATAAGATGAACCCCTAGGAGCAGGGAAGCAAAGTTGCAGACAAAAAACACAACCTGGGACAATGACCCAACAGGCAAAAAGATTTTCCAGTTTAAAAGGCACAGAGTCCTAAAATGTGGACACGGCAGCGGCTACTGTACAGGCCGGGCGCTGCTCCCCACACTGAAAAGGTCAGGAAAAGTGGCCAACATTTTAGGGGAACCAAGGATCCCAGACTGTACGGCAGACTTTATAAATGCGGAAACAGGACGAGGCTTTCCGTTCACCTCAAATCCTCTACCACAGGCCCACACAGCTCCCCTCTGTGCTAACAGAATAATGGGGGGCCAGGGCTCTCCGCCTTAAAGCCTGGAAACCACACGCAGTTTGTATAGAAGTGCAGTTCGAGGGGGCTCCTCTAAGGCGTGTGACCCCACAAAGGCTCAGAACCATGTCACTGGATCCTGAGGCAGGCCCCGCAGGCCAGTAAGTTCCATGGCCAGTTGCGGGGGTGACTGCAGCAGGGCGACTACGGCAGGGGGCCCTTCCGAGGCGGGGGCCCCAAAATCGCGGGAGGG